CGCGAATTGTCTCTTAATACTAGAAGTCTCCTGAGTATTAGCGTAAAAGTATTTATGTTATCCTGAGAAATGCAATGGAAATGTACGCGATTAACAAAGTACGCAGAACATGCGTGTTAAATTTACTATTTAGAATTAAGTCAAATAATAAATATAATGCAGGCAGCTAAAATAAATTAAGGAAGTTATGATATGCGAGAACTAATAGACTAAAAGAATAAATAAAAATCGTTACTAAGTCTTAATAATTCTCAGTCCGATTATACCCATTAAACATGCCTAGCAGAGATTCAAGTAACCAAAGAAAGCGGCTCTTTAAATAATTGTGATTACAATATAGTAAATAAAATTAAGTTACTCACATCTAACCCTAACTAGGATTTACAAAGCTAGCTAATAAGTCAAGTCATAGAATATTTGAACTTACCTCTACTAAAAATAATTACCATTGGCGGAGGAAGCTGTATAGTTCCGCTGCCATGGCTGCTAAAAGAACGTTGTTCAGTGTGTCCGCCCTGTTCCATTTCACTGGCACTGTTTATGTGAGAAGCTAAAAGTTCAGCAATAGAGCCATCTCGGCTAAGACCATTTAGTTCTTTGAATGTGCATGCATGCCTAAGACTAGTTACCACGATTTCGGCCGCTTCTCCAAAAGCATGAATGCGAGCTCCTCGAGAAGCAAAATTAATCTGGCTAGGATGAGTCATATTGATAAGATCTGCTATGCAGAAGCCCAAGTGATGCAGCCAAGTTGAGCTGCGATTAACATTGAAGCTACCAAAAACTTCGGGCATATTTAAAGTGACCAGATCATTGGCCAAATGAAGCCAGCCTAGGCAAAGCTCTGCCACACCTAGATTCCTTCCAATTAGCCCGCGAGAATTAAGGAGATACTGGCATGCAAAATGCTATAAAGGTAATATAAAATGTATACCAAGTTTAAATAGTAAAGGCTCAAGATTGATTATCTTATAAAAAGATTATTAAAATCGTTATACATTTATTCACAATAAGTAGATTAAATTGTTGAGTAAATTAAACGTATCTTATTTAAGCCAAACTAAATTAGAAGGATTGCGAAATGTTTATACATTTAAGTCAATGACGATGAAAAGGGATCACAATCTAGTCGAAAATGTTGCAGTGACACATTTCATTGCTTTTACTCACACTGTCTAGTCACATATTGGATAGGTTCTAAAACAGTGCATAAACTAGTCTCATGGAATGATATATAAAAACAACGGAGTAGAAATATTAAAGAAAATATTCAGCAAGATATGCGAGAAGTGAACTACAAAGAAGTTCCTTAAAATGACATTTTATGAGTATTAAAAAATTAAAACATGGATTTTTTACTGTAAATAATAAAGTAGGACACTTAATATGTTCTTATCATAGTTGCTCTGAAGATAATTGTTTTCACCCAGAAAATTTCCTTTAAAATCTCGGATCATACAGGCAACCTAGAACTTTTGTATGATCATTGATTATGGTACGAAAATAGCATGGATATTACGTTTAGTGATAGAACAGGTATAGTGAAATAAAGGTCATTGGAATTTAAGCAACTTTGCCGCATCGTAAGTAGTGTAGCAACACTACTGATAAATCAAAAGCCTCAAAAAGGAGGGAAATGTCTTATTGGTTGTAACTTACTGAAGAGACCAAAATAGAATGATGATAATAAATTACTGCAGTATTTTACAGAGAAGATATGCCATTCAAGATACAGTGATCCTATAAGGCATAGAGCCTAATTTCAAAATGTTTGTAAACTATATTTATAAGGGGGATTAAGATTAGACATTTGAGATTT